TACCATATTGAAAAATATACTATTTTTGTATGATAATTATGGGTTTTGTATTTTATTTTAATAGAAGTTGATGTTGCTTTTGCAATTATCCATCAATTTTTTAAAATTAAACACTATCTACAGATTTGCATCGAAGCGTTTCTTATGATAGTGATTTTAATCACTGTCAGATTAAATCTATACTGAACCCTACTATGCAATGTCTCCACTATGCCGCGACCCCACTGTGCTACCGTTTTTTTTAATAATAATTATAATAATAGTTTGTTGAAACATTACAACATACAAATTGATAAATCTAATTTAAATTTTTGAATTTTTAAAAAATATAGAAGGCTAAATATTATATTCTTATCCATGTGAACACGAAAGTTATTATAGATAGTGAATAAATATTATGTAGGTAACATAGAAATAAATTATTTTATACAACATTATTTGTACATTAATGTAAAGAATCATGAGTTCTACTTTAATATTAAATAATAGCAATAATAATAATAATGTGTAAAAAACGTCCAAACATAAAAAATGGAATACTCGGTAATCTCTCAAAACTTACTTTATTTTTAGAATGTAGTAATACTAGGTATTGACTGAAGGTTGCTTTAAATTAAAATTTTCACAAATTTCAATATTGTACTGGTTATTTAATTTTAACTCATAATTTCTGTTTTTCAGCATTCTCCTTTTTTATGTAATTAAGATTATTATGTATAAATATATTTTTTTTTTACAAATCATAAAATATTATTAAAATTAGACAATATCAAAAATAAAACTAACAGCATTTAATAAGACTGTATGTGCTATAAAATATTTATAAAAAAATTAACATATGTATTATTTAAGAAAATTTGTTGTAATCACTATAAAGTGACATCAAATTAGGTAATGGTGATCAATTAAAATTTACTTAATGGCATTATAAATTATGATAAAAAGTGCCTAAATGAACCTAATAAATAATATATTATAGACACAATATATGTTTTTAATGTAGACTATCGTTATATATAGATATAATCATTTCTTTTACTATTATTTTTCTGTACATTTAGTTCTACAGTATCCTAAAAAGAATTCGTATCTTTACAGAATTGTTTATATTTTTTGATTATGATCAATAATATTAATAGGATGCCGTGATTAATCCGTGATGCCGCTGTTTATTTTCCGATTTGCAATATCTGGTGAATGAACTTGATTTTCCTTAAAAAGAGTCATTTCATTTTATTAATTAATTTCTTTTTTTGCAAAAGTTCGGATGAATTAACCGTTATAGAATTTATTAAACGTACTTTAATATATAGTTACAATATACGTAAAATCGAAGGAAATGAAAGACACCTTAAGTTAAGCTTTTTATTGGACCTTAAGTTTATTTAATGGTGACCTTAGCGCCATTATTAACGAGACTTTAATTTCTAAAATTAATTATATATTAAGTTTTATAATTATATTATAATATAGTAAAAGCAGACGAACTCATAGGAGGGTGACAACAATGGATCAAACAAAATTATTTATTGATACACCACCAAAGTGTGGCACATAATTATTCAAAAAAATATAACAAAGTTATAATAATTGCAATTTGCAAGTTATTTTATACTCGTAGTTGTAAATTTTGCTGAATATAAATTAATGTAGTTAATTAATAAGTAGAACTCCTAAATTTGTACAAAACAGAGCGAGCTATAAAAAATTAGTCCACGGAAATTAAAAAAAAATTAAAATTTGTTTAAGGATTTGCTGTTAAATGTTACAATACATTTATGTATATTTAATTATTATAATTAAAACTTTTGAAAGTTTACTACCGGAAAATGATTGTAGCCATGAAGTTGTAGCGCTTTTTGTGTAAGACTCCTGTGAGATGGCATAACTAATAAATTAACATTCACGTGCATGTGTTTACATTGGTCATAGAGAACAGGTGGTGGCACCGGCGATTTTTTCTTGTCAGTGGGCTAGTGGGCCATCGACGGCAGTAGCATTCACCACAAGGACATCTCCCTCTCTATGAAAGATCCCTCTCTCGGTGCTCTAACATCAGTTATTCATCAAAAATCCTTATCATAACCTTGTTGGATGTCCGAAACCACCACTTCTATTATGCCATACAACAGTAATGGTCACTAACACCGTAGTACCGATTAACGCCATAAAATATTAATATCAATATTGCAAGCCTAACAGACCGCCGTCAAAACTTAAATGTACAGTACTATCGTAGACGCCGAAAGAATAACTTTCAAGTCAAATTTGAAACCGAATAATTAATTGAGTTGAACTTTTTAACTTTACAAACACTGTTTTAGCTTCAATAGTCTTTCTTTTGTGTTTTCCAGCAAATTTTAAAAATGTAAGCTGATAATTTAATTATAATAAGATTTTTAGTAGCACCAATTCGGCTAAAAAATTATTATATAGTGAAAAATGAAGTTTGAATATAATTATTTCATTATTCGTTTCTTTTCGAATACCTATATCAATCAACTACATGTTTCAGGTATTTTGCAGCAGCAGCGTTTATCTTGCTGCTAGCTCCCAATCATCAAGCAAGCCCTACAAGTGATTTAAGATCCGCAGAAGATTTGACTGTATTTCACCAGGTACTGCTGTTTAATTTTTATCATATATTTATAAAAGTTTTTTCTTCTGAATTTTTCTTTGGTAAATATTTTGTAATAACCAGTTGTCATGTTACATAGCATACTGGTTATTACCACAATTATAGTGTTATCAATATATTAACTGTCTGAATCTTGTGAAATCCTAAAAGTGCACGTGTTTTCGTCTTAGTGTATAGATTTTGACAAAATTTATCATAAAAAAAACTATCTACTAATATTTTTTTAAAAACATTTTATAGAATGACACCAAATTATTACTAACAAAAGGGAAAACCTAAAATTAAGTCAATGTTTATAATTTATTGAAAATTATTGGATAACATTAAACTAAATATTTAATAAGTAATTTGTATTGTGAATTATACGTTTTGATTTTCCTCTTAAATGAAAACTAACAATTTCTTAGACGTAGAGACATTTTTATGTAAAGAAAAAAAAACGAATGTTTTTTAAATTAATTATTTGAAAAAAAAAATTTTTTGATTATTGTAGATAACTAAATATTCCTACTGAAACGTTATTAAATTAATGATTTTTTGTTTAGCTTTAACTGAAAATTAAGTTTGAACTTCAAACTCAACGTAAAAGTTTTTTTGGATGTTTCTTAAATAACTTATCATTTCACAGCTACTATAATTAAAATAGTTTAAAATGTTATTGTATTATAGGCCTTTTTTAATTTTTATATTTAAATTTACATATTTAGTTTGAAATTATATAGAAATTAATTTGTAAAAATGTTTTTTAAATAATATTTACTAAAATTATTTTATTAAATAATTAATCAATTAATTCCATCTAAATTATCTATCTAATTATTGGCATATTTTAAATGCTTTATTTCATTATTATTACTTATGTAATATATGGTTCAATGACAACCAATGAGTACTAAATTTATACAAACATTGAACTTAATTAAATTACTATAGTGATCTCTAGATATTTTGTGAATACGAAATTAAAGTAATCTCAAGCCATTGTTTTTATATTTCCATATATTATTATTATTATTAATCACTTTAACTCATTGATATTTATAGATTTCTATTAGATAATTTTTTTTATTAATATTGGTCATATTTGAACTTCATGGTCTTTCATTCATGAAGGTAAACCGAATTCGAAAGGTCATAAGAATAATTTTGAGGACTGTTGTATTTAATTGTGATGTGTTAACGATAGCAAGTCATTTTTATCCTAGAGAGATAATTATTTTTACACTTAAAATGAACCATAGATATTAAGAAAACCATTAGCTTTCGTATTGTAGTATAATAATTCTTATGAATTAAAAGTATGAATCTTCAGAACAATATTTATTTATATAACATTATCTTATAATTGAGAGTCTATACACTAGAACGGCTGTTGGGTCAACAACAGTGACAGTATGTGTGTTTGTGTAAGATGACCTCGCGCTTAACACGCTTGTTTCTTAGCCGGCAACTATTACTACACATTTTATTTAAAATTCAGCCGTATGTACCTTTCGCTACTACTTAATTACAATGTAAATTAAAAAACACTTATAATATTTTTAAAATAAAATTGTCAAGATAGTCCTCGGTAAAATCAACCGAGTCTCCATTTTATTTTTCAATTTATCGTTGTAAATTTTTAGGATCAACCAACCATTCAGCATGCAGTAAAGCCTAGATCTGTGGAAGTAGCTACCAGACTTTTGGGAAGCAGCAGTGGTACTATAGTTGGATCCTCTTCAGGAGACTTGGTGAAATCTTATTTCTTAAATATTTGTATTTTCTGCAATAAAATGTAACTAAATCAAATGTTTTTTAGGCTTCTGGCATTAGTGGCGCCGGTAGTAGCGCAGAAACAGCGCCATCTCACCAACCAAGCTCTAGCGGAGGAACCGGATCGGGATCGGGTTCTATTTTAAACTTAGTTGCACCACTAGTAGGAAGTAGCAGTGGCGTAAGTGATATTACACTTAAATACTTTTGTTAACTATCAACAATTTTGGTCTATTAAATATTTTAATTAAATTTATTTCGTTTTCCATCTTAAGTAATATAATGTAGGGTAGAGTAAAATGTGAAAAAAAGTTATACATTTTTTCCCGGTAATACCATAATTTATCAATAAAATTTCTTTATATTACTAAGGTTAACTTGATAAATCTAGTAATAATATTTAACCTACAGAAATAATGTATGTAATATATATTTTTGAAATTTTGTTTTAAATTTTAAAAATCGTAATACGGGTACAGCTATTTCATTATAAAAATAGCTTTTAGATATTTGAATTCTTTAAGTTTATACATTTAAAAAGGCATGATTACAATTTAATTGGCCTAGAACCAAATATATATATATAAATAATCAAAACGATGACCTCATACATAATGACTCTGATATTTAATTAGGTACAGTTTTTATTACATTAAACGGACCAAGGATAAAAACTAAAAATATTATGTGACCCAGGTAAATCTTTTATCACTTAAAGCACTTATTAAGCACAATAAATGGATTGTAAAAAATGAACAAGAAATTATAAAAACAGGATTTTTTAAACAAATTTTTAGAATTTATTTCAATTTATGATGGTTCTTATGATATAAGTGTATTTTATAGAGTGCCAGTGCTAGTTCTTCAGGAAGTTCATCAGGAGGAACCAGTGATGGAACCTCCTCAAATGATGGAGCTTCAAGTGATGGACCTAGTCCGGGAAGTGCTAGTATTCTTTCTTTGTTGGGACCTCTTTTAAGTAGCAGCGGTGGAAGTGGAGTAAGTTAAAAATTTGACTTTATATTACTTATATTTTTATTGCTTTATATTATTAAAGGGAAATGGAGGAGATAGTAGTGATAGTTCAGGATCTGGTGGATCATCAGGCATCTTAAGTCTTTTAGCTGGTTTGTTTAGTAGTAGTAGTGGAAACGGTGGTCAAGGAACTACAGACGATTCTGTGAGATTTTATTTATTAATTAATATATTCGATTATTTTGTAATTTCTAAAGCAAAAAATAAATTTTTTTCAGTCTGCTAGTGGCGGCGGCTCAAGTAGCATTTTAAATCTTGTTGGACCGTTATTAGGCAGTAGCAGTGGTGTAAGTATATATAAATATTTTTATATTAGCTAATATCGTTAAAATCTTAAAACAAAAAAATCACAATTGTATTTTTAAGAGTCACACTTTTTATAGTTTTACTATCTTTTTTTAGGTTAGCACTAGTAGTTATTAGTAGTATACATATAAAGTTGATATTACTTAGTATTTTAATTAAGTTTTATTGAGTATTCACAATAGTACTTTATAGAGTTATTAGGAATTTTTTTGTTTAAACACGTAGAAGTCGTTTTTTACGAAGATTAATATCTAACCTTACAAATCGTTATACACAATTACTCAGAAATAAACATAATACCTCAAATACACGTTGAATGTACGATTCATAAATAATAAATGCACCGTAATATTGGTAAAAAAGATGTAACGATTCAATTATGATGAAACTAAATCTATGTGTCTATATAAAAAGGATGAATTGTATGATGCATATGGTAAATCAAAAATATCGTATGTGACATCTAATCACTGGAATGGAAGCAAATTGATAGACATTCGAACTAAAAGGAGTAACAAGGATCTTCATGACAATTTAATTCAACGAAGATGGTTTATTGAAAATCAGCAAAAGCACAAACGAGCTGAAAATGATAAAATTACTGGTGTAGCCAAATTAGAAACTGAAGAACCAAATGTAGATCCTAGTGGATCATCTGGGTCAATATTAGAAATGGCAACTCCATTGTTGGGGTCTTTAAGTGGTGGGGAAGGAGGATCTGGATTAGACTCTGGATCAATATTGGAGCTCGCAGGACCTATAATAGGTTCATTAAGTGGTGATGGGGGAGAGGGTAGTGGAGATGGAAGTAGAGGATCGGATTCAGGTTCGATTATAGAACTTGCAGGACCAGTAATACAATCTTTGAGTGGTGGTGGGGAAGAAGGTGGGTTGGGTTTGGATTCTGGGTCAATATTGGAATTTGCAGGGCCAGTTATTGGATCACTCAGTGGCGGAGAGCAAGGAGGAAGCTCAGATTCTGGGTCTATACTTAAATTAGTAGCACCAATAATAGGTTCATTAAGTGGCAGTGATAGCAAAAATAATACTAGCGAGAGTGGATCTAATTCAGGAGCTATACTAAATTCAGTGGTTCCCTTACTGGGTTCGTCGAGTAACATAGGTGGAAATGTTGGAGGTGGATCTGCAACAGGAGGTTCTGATTTGGGATCAATCGTAAATTTAGCGGCTCCATTACTTGGATCATCAAGTAGTAAAAGTAGTAACAATGGAAGTAATGGTTCAATGACAGGAGGATCCGATTCTGGGTCTATTTTGAGCTTAGCTGGTCCATTATTGGCTAACCTCGCTGCGCCATTATCAGGCTCTTCGTCATATTCATCATCTAGTACGCAACCTTCGGTAAGCGGTTTTTATTAATGAAAAATGACTGATAAAAAGGTAAAACAATTACAGTTAAAACAAATAAAATAATAATTCCATTTGAACAATGAACATTGTTTGAAAACACTGATAAGGGCTTTGTAAAACTACTAATATTATAACTACTAGTACTTCATATTTAAAATAATACATAAAATATTTTTCATAAGAAAGTTTCTTATTTTATTGTTATGTTATACATGTTTAAAATGAAAAGTAACTTTTTTTAACATATGATATTACAGAGTGGAGGTAATGGCGGTGATAGTGCAGACGCCAGTGCGGGTGGTGGAAGTGACTTATTGGGTCTTGTAGGATCTAGCAGTGGTTCTAGCAGTGGAGCTGGTGGTGGTACAAAAATTGATAATTCTATACCTGATGCATCTATTGAGTCTACAACAGGCTTAACACCAGCCACCCCGGTAAGAAGAAGGCAAACTGCCAGACAACCAACATATGATGATTTGATACGAGAAAACCGTAGAAGAGGCATTTTTCATTTTTGATTTTAATAAGTCACACCATCACTAGTAGATATTATATATAGTAATTTCAGTTAGAAAATCACAAAAATATAACACATATTTAGAATATTGAAATCAAACACAATAGAAGTCATACACATAACGCACGGGTTAGTATTGATAAACTATAATTTTAGAATTATAAAATTAATATTACATTAAACTTATTCTACAAAAATGGTATTAAATATAAAATAGATAGATCATCGACAGAAAAATAACTTTTTGTATTAAAGTTATTTAAATTTATGAATGACAAGCTAGTTGAGATATAAATAGAAATTTTAAATTATATTAATAATTAGTTAGTCTAATAGAATATAAAAAATTATTATTGCTGTAGTTAGTTATGTTGATAATATACATTGGGTTATCTACACAAGAATGCCCGTTTTTTATAATTTTTAGTATTCACATATTTATATAAAATTACTACACAACTCGTTTATTAAAAACTATTAGTATTTAAAAATGTAGAACCGTACAAATCAAAAATTTTTTTTATTTGTATAAAAATTTAACTACGTTTTAAAAGTTCAAGTATCGACAATTTTATTAATTACTTATTATTTTATTTACTTAATGGTTTTGATAGATGAACATTTTCCACTCTAAAATAATGGCTTTTAAAACTTTCCTAAATTTGGCAAAGAGAAGTCTCAAAACAATTCTGTTGGTTGGTAATTTTATGTTTTGTATGCTTAAATGATTAATGACTATGGTTACATTTTTTCAGACTAAGTTAGATGCATTCCTGTGCGTATTAAGATCAACGATTAAGGAATTCACTATTGCCAACTATTAATTTATGTACATCGAAAATAATTAAGTGTTCGTGTATTACCCTAACAGTCAATTTTTTTAATTTCCATATATTTATAATGCAATTTTTGTTTACATAATTTAAATCATTGAATTAATTGCCATTTATATTATATACATCTAAAAAGAATATTTATATTTTACTATTAATTTTTTTTTTTTATATTTTACATGAACATATCAAATTTATTTGTATTTTTTATTTTTGTAAATATTTTAATGTAATAGAAAAGTGCCTATGTAGTGATTACACGTACGATTTAATAAGACATTACCTATAGTTCTCTAGAAACAATATATTAGATAATATATGTTATTTTAGTATTATGTAAATAATTGGGGGTATAAATGATAATGTATTTAAAATAAATAACTTTGTAGTATTGTGCTATCTAAAAACTCTATTTTTTGTAGCTTACGAAAAGTGTATAAATAAAATCATTAAACAGTTATGAAAATGTGTTCTTATATTATTCATAATTTTAATAATTAACTAACAAAATTATTTTGACCTATTTTTTTTTACTCATCTAATAGCTATTTTCTTAGTAAAAATGGACGAGTATTATTCGTTCCAGTGACGAACTTCAACGTTCTGCAATTCTTACTTTTATGACTCGAACTATAAAGTGTAAAATATTATGTAAATAGTAAGTTAAAACGGAAATCAATTTTAAAAAAGCCTAAAGAGTCAAATAGTTTTTATACGATATTTTTAAGTACAATAATTGAGCTGAAGACTTTGTTTAAATAAGGTTGGGTAATTAAACAAAAATTGTTTTAATAATAATGTAAAATGACATTTGAAAACTACTGTCTTTATGTAAATTATTTTAACATAATATGGTTTAACATAACATTCGACGAAGAAAATATTCTTTACTAGAAGGTTCGGTGAAAGTTCGATAGCCATAAAAAATAGTGTATAAAATTGTAATTATAATTAAAATCATATAAAAAAAAAGAATGAGACAATAGATAATAGATTAGTTTTCTTATAAATTCAAATACTGAATAACTATTAAAATATTATAAAATATAGGATAGTAAATATAATTAAGTTTTACTAGCAACTACAGTTATACTTGTAATACTTGTTGTATTGTATTCTGTGATACTGGACACAATTACTTCACTCCTACTGAACCAATTTTGCTCAACGATATGTCAAAGTCATAGTAATAAAGAAGTATATGTATTGTATGTGTACATACTATCAATGTTTAAACCAAAATTATTTATTTTGTTTTTATATTTTAGCAGTTAAAGCGATAACAATATTAAAATGTTATACGTTTTAAATAATTGAACGTTATGGATTCATAATGTTTTCCATTTCGTGGTATTTAGGGGTAAGATTTTCCCACAGTTTTTACGTTGTAAAACACTGAGTTGCTCGCAGTTATATTTTGACCAAATACATTTTATCTTGTAAGTTATAACGAATCTTCAATATGTTTTCATTTTAAGTTATGCTCGATAGTTTGATTTTTGATTTATTTCATTTGTAGTTATTATACATTTTTCGTTTATCATTATACGTCTTCTTTATGTTTTATGATTCCAATTTTGGTAATTATTAAGCTACGAAAAAAGTTTTAAGCATTGCATACTACTGTTGTTTTTACTAAAATAAAAAAATTATTATTTTAATATTTTGTTTATAGAGATATCTTTTTTAAAAACCGAAATTGAAAAAATGCTGTATGATTTTTTACGCGCGAGTGAAATAAAAATTCTTAACAGTAATTTAACTAAAAAACAATTAAAACATCAACAACGTAATTTTTAATCAAATTACTGTAAATATAAATTTAAATGAATTGTGTTTTAAATATTTTTAAATAACAGCTTTATGTTGAAACGTTGTTATTCAAAAAATAAGTCGTTACCTAATTAAATGATTCGTATTAATATAATAAGATCTTAAGAAGAAGTTGTCATTACAACAAAAATAATAAAATATAGTTATATTTTAAAACATAGTTAATATTATGACATATATTATACATTTCTCAATTGAGTAATTTTGCTTTATGTGCATTACACATGTTCATACGTATTTCTTTATTTACAACCCATTCAAAGCTCCATGCTTTTTTTTTCAAAAAGTCCATACTATAAAACGTATCTAATTGGCTGAATTGCGAATTTCTAAGATAAATCATTTTAAATTACTATTTATTTTTAAATATTGGAAATTATTGTGTAGGTGCTTATTATACAAAAACAATTTCATGCGTATTCTTTAATAATAGAAAAAATATTTAATAAATCTTAAAAACACATATTAACATTTTATCGTGTTTATTTAATTATAAATTTATTCAAATTAAATTAATGTAAAAAAAAAGTATCCTTGAGCCAGCATTAAAGTAGAATGAGTAGGTATTTGCCCTCAGATGTAAAATTGACAAGCACTAAGTTATTTTACTAAAGTTTTTTTTATGTATGATTATTTTATGTATTGTGTTTATTAAATACAAAATGACCTTACACGTGTAATAATACTTTCCTAATGGTAAAAGCTGTTACTTCAAAAACCTGATTGTTGGAAAACAATTAAGAAACTTTATGTGAATTTTTCTTAATTTAACCTTAATAATATTATGTCCAGAATAAAAAAAAGAGAATTTTGGTATTTTTCCTTTTTTTTCAAATCGTTAAACAAATGTTAATGTTAAGGGTAAAATAACGGTATATTTAAAAAAGAACACATTATATTGGCCATTTTATTCCACATTTAGCTACATTTTCAAACCTAATTCAAGTCAATTTTTCCTCAAAAAAAAAAGAATCCTATTTGGTTCTTTTCGGTACTACTTTATAGTAAATGAGTACCTGAGAATCTATAATTGAAGGGGCAAGTGGGTAAAAGTTAACTGACATTTTTAAAATTGTTCAGGAATGTTATTTTGTAATTAAATATTAATAATAAACCCTATTTACGTATGGAACCTTTGATATGGACTCGTAATAAGTACGATTTAGTAATAATGGAAATTAAAGTCATTAGAGAATCATCAAAGAAAAAAATAGAATATTTTATACAAAGGTGTCATTTTTTGGTGATTGTGCATTAAATTATTTTAAAAATTAATCATAAAATTGAACATTTATGAATTTTTATATAAATTCTTTCCAGTTATCAATTAGTAGGTTGGTTGCACACCAGATAACATTAGTTGAATTAGTGTATGCAAGGAAAAGAGTTAAGTATAGTGGTTTCCCATTACCTTCTGCATTAGGGAAATAGTGTTTTTTGCTGCTTTAAAAATTTCTGTAACATCCGTGAACCTATAAAGGTAGACGTGTATCTTAATAAATATTTTAATGTAATATCTTAAAATTGTGACATACTACTAGAGGTTATCAGCAACTAGTGTGTCTATTGCACCACACCATACACCCGATGAATGAACAACGTAAAAATTTGGTTTTACGTTTAAGGTAACGTAAAACCAAATTTTTACGTTGTTGGATACATTTTAGTACAACTCGGATATTATTTAACTTAGGTTAATTATCCATATTTCAAGATAATATTTTCAAGTTTATTTCCATTACCAGTAAATCATTTTGGTGATTCTTCAGTGACGAAACATTCTGTGAAACTTTTTTTCTAGTACAATTATATTTTTCTTATTCAAACAAAATATGTTTCTTTGCTAAATTATTTATTTTCCTAGCAAAATTGCTTGTTTAATCAACAAAAAAAGTTATCAGTTGCAAAAACACAAATAGTGTTTTGAAATTAAGGGTACTTAAGTTTGAAAGACCAAAAAACAAGTTTCTCGTCTCGCTCGAAATGATTAACCAACTTAATTTTATCTGTTTATTTATATTTAAATTTACTACAATTACAAAAAATGTAGTTTTTGGGAGTTCTTTTTTATAGCATCGCCTCAAATTTTGTATAATGTTATATAGAGTGGTGCACTATGTTTTGAAAAATTTACATACTTTTGTTACAGTGAATATTTTGAGTTAATTTTTTTTAAATTAAATTTATTAAGCGAGAGCTGAAAATAAATGGTAACAAATAGCAAAAAATAATAAAACAACATAGTAAAGATAATACTTTCTAAGTTTTGTGTTGAAACTAAAAAATTAGAATAGGTTTTAAATCAAAATAAATATCTAATTAGAATTTATCACTCGTGATTAATATTTTTTAAAATTTTAAATATATTAAAATATTAATTACAACTAAAAATATTTGACTAAAAAACCGCAAAAATACTAAAAAAATTGCGTATACATATTTCGCGAACAATGTTAACATCATCAATGCTAAACACATACCAAAATAAATAGTTCTAAAATAAATTGGTCCACTTACCCCACCTATTTCTTAATACGCCAACTGGGTTGAAGTATAAGTTTTTGTACAACAATTAATTTAATTTTTCTAGAATTTGTAATTTTTACACAAAAATCATACTTTTTTCAATAAATTTTAGCCTGTTTATATTAAGAAGATAAGTTTCAGGTCAAATTTTTTTTTTAAAATTGAGCATATTTTTAAACAAGATTACGTGATCTTTAAAAAAAATATATTTAATGACGTCAGGTTTTCCGGAACATTTTCAAAAGTTAAATTTAAAAAGTTAACTTTTTGTACGAAAGTTGCTAATTTGAATTTTTCGGTGAGCTGATAAATGATCGGATTTTCAAAAACATTCCTAGTAAAAGGGATACAACTAAAATATTATTAAAAAAAATTATTTCGATTCATTAAATTTTATAAAAGTTATGAAAGTTTTAAGAAAAATAAATTTAAAATATACAAAAATGTACCAATTTAAAAAATCGTAAATTTTTAGGATATTTCCCCTAATTAGAAAGAATAAAAGAAATTTTTTCAATTTTTAAGGACAACTATTTTAATAAGGATTAATTTGTGATATTTTTAAGTATAATTGGTAAAAATGTGTGTCATTAGAAGTTTACCTAGAGTAAAAGGCAAGTTGAAAAAGTTTTACATTTTTTACGTGTGTATCAAGTTTAAGACCTCTATATAAGGAAAATAGATAGATTATGAAAAAAGAGCTGAGAAAATAAATGATAGCAACAAAAAAAAACCACATAGTAAAATAATATTAATATGAATTTCTTCTCACGAGAAGAGACTACAGTAATAGGACCCTTGATATTTATTGAAGTTATTGAATCTAAATGAGGTAAAAATCAAATGAATTAAACATTTTTTTCTAACTAAAAAGAACTAAGGAAAAATTCAGTGCCACAGGCGTGAAAGAATTGTTACCGTCTCAGAAACCGTTTGTCACATTTGTCCCTCAATAAAAATAGAAATTTAGCGAGTTCAAATTTTAAAGTTATTTTTCTCGACTTCAAAGAAATAAAAAAATTTAAATATGTTTAACTTTTTATACTATGCCAATTAGATTGAT